TGTGCCAGCCAAATGCCAATTTCATAAATCTATGTCACGTTGAAATCATATTAAATGCTTTTTGGGGGGCAACAATTGCAGTTTTGCTGCATTCATCTTTCATCTTGTTTGGTCCAAATTTAGATAGGGTAGGTGTGGGGAACTGGAGACCCTTAAGCACATCTGCATAATTTACATGAACATGAACAATGTTACACATGTACAGAAAGTTTTGTATTCTTTTCAGTAATTGGTTCTCTTTATTTGGTAACAAAATTGTGGTCATGATGTAACTGATTAATAAGATAACAATGATTAATGACGTCATCACCAAAGGTCTCTCATTACCTACATGTGTAGGTTATGAGGGACAGTTACAAATCAAGACATTTTAAATACAATTTGAATGAAAATGGGATTGTTATAGTTAGTACAAACACTTTTTGAAAGAGATACATGGAGCCAATGAACTTACTGTAATTTTGAAACGATTTTAAGACAATGTGGCCCAAAATATTTCTGTAGTTTTTTGTTTACAGTAATAAAGGTGCTCTAAATTATGTTTAAATACTTTCAGAATAATGTTCTGGCAATGTGACTTTAACGTGGATCAAACTCACAGCATAGAAACAACTTCTTAAAATGAAATGCATTCAAATTAGAATGGTGACACAAACAACCAAATATATCTCATGATAGTGCCTTTCAACATGAAATGGACAACTGGGAGAAAGTAGGCCCCCATCTTGGACCTGGTGTCCCCCATTGCCTACACACATTTCTGATCAGACACCATTCATAATGTGCATTGCAACACCCATTCACAACACACGATGGCCATAAGTTTTCTGTGATGGTTGGCACACTTCATAAACTTCCTTTTAAAACAATTTTTTAAGAGCCACCCCTAAATATCTGCATACACCACAACATTAAGTGAAAATTGAGTTTTTATATCAGAGCAAAATTTTAAATCAAAATTGCTTATCTTGGTCAATTTTGCCAATTTTCTTGGAGAGAGAACACATTGCAGTCTTCGAAATAAATTGGATATATGCAGTAGTGTTGTTATAGGCCACATATGGCGCTATAGCAATATTGGAGCCAACACGGACAGACAGTGATGGGTTCAAGCTTGGTGGTCTCCCATTACCTACGATCTCCAATTCCCTACACCTACCCTACATATGTCAAGAAACAAAAATGGCTATGAAAGAATTCACTTTTCATCAAATCGGTGAGAAGTGGTTTTACGGCACACATTATTATTCCATTGATAGGCTTTATTTAGACCAGCATTGCTCCAACGTCAGTGAATGTGGATAAAGCAGTTGACATCTGTACTAGACAGATGCATGAGTTTCAAAAGAAATTACCTGGTGGATTCTATGACACAATTTCCAAGAAAGTTCAAACCATGGCAGCCATGAAGAAGTCAATTAATGTTGGGGTACGAAAGTCTATAGAAAGTTGATCTACTCCAAAGTAATAGGACTGCAGGCAAGTTCAAGAGAGGTCAATGTCAAGGACATTTTGTCATAAGAGCTTTCACCAGTCCCATCAGCACTCTTTGATGATTCTGGAAACGAGCACTCTAATGTCAAAGGCGGACTTATAGAATTTGACAAAAGTTGAGATGCCAGCCAGGCATGAGACACTGGAACAACCATGTACAGTCATTGATGGTTGTGCTCTACTGTAGATGAAAATGATGTTTGCTTGGTGTTTGACAGATCCAAGAGTATCTAGAAGTCACAACGGGTCGAAAGTCTTCCAACTGAGTCCCGCATCACTGCTGCCCTCCAAGAAACTATCTCTCACTGTTCGTCGTCGTCGTTGTCATATAGATCATGGCTCATCATTGTGACCCGTTTGATGAGCCCTTTCGATCGGCATCTGTCTCCTGTAGAGTGTATTTAGTATTAAGAGGGTGGCTAGTGATTTCCCTAAGGTCGTCACTCCATCTGAGCTTGAGTCTTCCTTTGTTACGTGTTCCTTCAAAGGTACCTTGAATGATAATTTGTCAAGGTTGTCTCCTGATCTTCTGCTAACGTGACCAAACTATTGTAGCTTGTCCTTTAAATGCTGGTAGCAAGTGGCGGTTGATCTCCGATGATGGACATTAATTGTGTCCATTGGTGATGTAATCTCTTCATGATATCCCAAGTAGCTTCCTCCAACACCACATTTCAAAGGCAGATATTACTCCCCTGTCTGCCTTTCCTAATGCCCATGTCTCGCAGCAATAGAGTTCCTACTTGGAAAAACAATGCCTTCATTACACAGATCTTAGTGGCCAAGGTGAGGTTCCTGTCCTTCCAGATGTTTGACAGTGTTGAGGCCGATGTTTAAGCCATGGCCAGTTGTCTCTAAGTTGATATCTACCAAGCTTCCACCCTCCTTGACAATCATTGACCCGAGAACATTATATAAACTTGTGCACTTGATCAACTTCTTCTCCATCAACCACCATGCTCTGTTGCATGTAGTTAATTTCCACCAATCATGATCTTGGTCTTTTTCACATTGAGGTAGGGTCCAAATTATTCACTTGCATCCTTCACTCTTTTTTAAGGAGTTTTAGTAGTTCTTCTGATGTTCTTGTTATAAGTGTTGGCAGTGGCATAAGGAGCAAAAACACTTAGAGGGGCAGAAAAATTATCTGCATCACCACCACTCATACATGTTACATGCAGGCCCCGCGGAACATTTTTTAAAGCGGGGGTGGGGGGGGGGGGGTAAAGTATTTACGATCAGGAAGAGAGCGCAAATTGGCGTAGGGTCAAGGGGGCAGGGCCCCGGAAGCTGTAGGCAGCTAATAATTGTCAGATGAGCATCCATGCATGGGCCTGCCTTAGGGCCCTAGGTGGGGTTCAAGGGGCACAGCCCCCGGAAGCTCAGGTGTTTTAGGCATTTAATAACTGTCAGATGAGCATATTTTGATACCTCATTTCGCCTCAGGTCACTTTCTTTCTTTTTTTCTAGTTCTCTTTAGCATACTTTATACAAAAAGTGAGGGGGGCTCGAATCCCCTGAGCCCCTGCCGTTCCGCGGACCCTGACATGTAGGCTTTTAAATAAGCATATTTTTTGCTTGACTGAGAATTTAGGGATATGTCATTTTCTAACATACGCTTAACAAATAATAATTTACTAAAAAGTGAAGAAAAAAACCCAGGAAAATCATGTCAATTCAGCAACATTTGTAAATCACTGGTATCGAATATGAAGAAAAAAAACAGTTTGAATTTTATTTGGGGTCAACTGTCCCCAAGCCTTGCCTTTATATCTTCATCCTCTGTTAAAATGTTCCCATTTTCATCCTTCAAGACATATAAGTTTGGGTGTATTCTTGGTCAGTGACTTGATGTGTTTAAACATGTCTCTAGTGTTGCTAACTTCACTATCTTTTCATGACAACAAACTACAGTTGATCGACATCATATATGCGCGAGTCTGCAGGATGATTGGGAGCTCAGAAATAGGCAAAAGCACAAGCTGGTCATTACCGTCAAGATGAGGTTTCTGCTGAAGTGATTCCAGGCAGTGATGTCATGCCAAGGACAGGTCTGTCCGCAACATAATTATGAAGAAGCAGGCAACATCATAGTACAGCAAGCGATTTGAATCGCTGCTAATAAGAAGAGGTATGTTAGGGTCCTAGTGGATGACACAGACGTCTACATACTACTTTTGCATCATTATCTACATGACGGACTAATAAAACGCCAATGACCATGGAGACGCCCGTAACAGATCAAACTGTTATTGATGTTCCTGCCAATGTAGACAAGGTAGGAGATATCATTCCATCGATGTTGGCAGGACATGCGTTGACGGGATGCGACACTCTTGGGGCATACTTTGGCATTGGATAGGGTACAATGCTGAAAGAGATGAAGCAGAAGATTCGACTCCCTTAGGACTCAGTTGGCAATGTTGATGCAGCATGGTCATATGTCATCACTCAACCTACTCAATGCTTTGCTTCATGTTATGGACAGTCAACAACCAGCTCAATGTCAGAGGCTCGTATCAATGTGTAGCTATCAAGGGTCCGAAGACTAGGAGCTACAAATACCCCAAACCTTGCCTCACTACCTCAAACTACTGAAGCGTTTGTAGACAATGTTAAGAGAGCTCATTTGCAAACATGTGTGTGGAAGCACGCCTTACAGTCACGACCTCACTTCGAACACATTTGTTTTGAATATTTTTGCAGAATTAAGTGTTAAATGACCCCCTCTTCCGCAAGGAATATTTTAGGTTTCCCAACACTCTAGAGGGCTTTTAAACAAATTTCAAGATTTTGAAGCAAACTTATAAACGGATATAGTCCTGTATCGTATTGGTAGTTCGTCATTTTTAGGTTCATATAAAAGAATCTAGTACCTTAGAATACAAATCCAGTTTATTAACGCTGTCACTGAAAACGGGCATTTATCACCATATGCCACCTCATATCTATGGGACAGAGAGCATAAAATTCAATCGTGTTTTCTTTGAGTATTAAATTACAAAATAAAAAATAAATGTGCAGCACAATTTTTACTCACTGTATCCAGTGCATCTGACTCATGACATATGATAATCTCATGTTAGAAATTGGTATTTGGCCATCATTTTGAACTATGCAAGTTAATGTGTCTATAGAGGGCGCCATTCTGAATTATGCAAATTTACATATCATATGTGATCTTACAACATCACAATTTTTATTTAGTGATGATTCTTGAAAAAAAATCAAGATATTTGACTGCCATTTAATGTATTAATATGCTGTTAACACTTTTTATATCATTAATTTGGGTTAAAAAGGGGATTTGGCGGGCATTTTGTATGACGTCACATATCACAAATTGCTCAATGCTGACAGAGTGTCAGCAATCGGATTCTTCAAATTGATGGTCTAAGGAACTATAATCCAAAAAAAAAAAAACTATAGACCCTAAAACAAGGTATATCGAGATGGCTGCCGGACTACAATGTTATTTTATGTATTGACCAATACAATCAAAGTACTTTTCTTTCATAAACACACACAAATTTGATACTTTTGATAAGTTTTTATACAAACTGAATAGCTACATGTATGAAGAAAAAATAGACTATTTTGGTGTTTTTTTTGTATTGAACTCACTTGTTCGGCGGACGATGGTGTCTACTAAAGTAGCCTGGCCACTTAACGTGACAGTCTCAAGGTTGAACGTGACAAGATCTCCTGGTACTAGGTCTGTGACTGAATGGCCGTACTCATTGCTGGTAGACATGGCGTCTTTGGGGATGAGGATTGAATCAGACTCCATCGAGGAGTACGAGAGTCTGAAAGTCTGAAAGGAGTTGACATCAAGCATCTCCGCTGACCACAAGACGATGATCTGATTGGTCTTGATGTTTGTAGCAACAAGAATTTCTTCATCTAGAAAATGTACGGTGAGATCAATGGATGATACATATTAGAGTAACCTGTATTTTGTACCATTTCACCCAAATAGCATTAACAGAGGAGTCTTATATAGCACCCATGTCTGCCACATTGCCACTCCTGGCGCTCCGTTGTTATGACCCTTAATTGCTTTAGCACGGCTGCCATTACAGCACTCAAGCATTCTTGGGAATTAATTCCTTACAGGTACCCATTCACCTTGCCTGTGTGGAGCGTGGCAAATGTAGATGAAAGACTTGCCAAAGGACATCTTTGGTGCCGTGACAGGGATTTGAACCATGTACCTTGTGGTGCAGAAACTTATCGAATGGACCACAACATCTTTTATTGCAAACCTGACCTTATGCCTGATTAGCACTGTGCTACGGTACTCAGAATATAAGATGATGACCAGTACAAGTTTAAAATATTTTCTATTAATCGTTGGATATAATGACAACATATCAATATCATTATATTTTAAGCTTTATCATTATACTTTTAAGCTTTAATGATAAAGAAAAAAAATCATCTATTATACACCCTGTTTTTAAATACCTAGTACATGTTAATGCATGTTTAATAGGGAATAGCTTGATGTATCCTGATGATATACATATATATATCTGGTTTTTGTTATTGATCAACTTCAAAGAGTTAATAGGTATGAATTTCATTCTCACCAGTAGTGGCTGTTGTTGAGATCGCATCACCCTCTAGCCGTTGTCCATTGCCTCCACTATAAGCAAACACCTGGATGTTGTACGTAGTATCACTTTGGAGGTTGTCCAGGAGATGCTCCCGCGTGTCTGGTTCGAGCAAGATGGGACCGCCAGTGGAAGGAGAGAAGGAGAGCTCGTAACCGTCAAACTCTCCCTGGGGTGGGGAGAGGAGGACTCTAATCTCATCGGAACCAAGAGCAGTAGCGCTGAGGGACTCTGGAGGGTTCGGTTCTGGAAAGAAATAACATATCCAAAATGATTTTCAACTCACATTTAATGCTAATTTCTCTTGCTGTAATACCAAAAGCCTGCAATTTACTTTTTACCCATTATGGACATAAACCCCAAGACCTCCATATTGTTCAGAGAATATTGCACATGCAAGTGTGATCTTTTTCATTAGGTGATACGTACGAAGTCTACGTATCACCTATTGATTTCGTCAAGATTTGTATTCCTAGTATTCTTATTATTCTTCCTCGATTTTGTTCGCAGGATATCTCAAGATTGAATCAAGCCATTGTCATGAAACTTTCAATGATGATAGATCTTAGTCTAACTTAGAACTGCGTGACTTTTCAAAGACTCAAAGTCATCGTGACGTCATCCAGGCGCCATTTTGTGAAAATCAACTTATGATCATATCTTCATAACAGAAAGTAATTTTTCATTCATATTTATCATGATTAAGATCAATATCCGTCCGGTCAATTTCAGGTCAATAAACGTGCGGAAATGCGCATGTACGCGTTTGTCCGCGCGTTTACGCGCGCGCAAAAATTAAAAATGCTCTAAATCATCCCAATTTTTTGGCCATATGGAGCATTTGATAACAAAATCTTGCACACGCGCATGCGCGCACGTACTGGCATTTTGTAACATAGAATCGCCGAATTTTTTCTGTCATCATATTTGGTACATTTTTCCAAGCATTTTGATAATTTGTTCACCTTTTAATAACGCAATGAGCGTCCGTCAAAGTTGACAGCACGTGGATCTGCGTTATCTTTATCCACAATACACGGGCAAAAACATGCCTAGAAAAATTTCATTGTAACTCTTCAGAATGGATGGGAACTCCCAATATATTTTTATATTTGGATAGATTATGAGTTGGAGATATGATTTCATGTCTCATTTGACCCTCAATTAACTCATGACGACATCATAATGGCCTCCAAACTCAAAATTTCAATTTGCATATTATGACGTCAGCATATTTTTGGAAAATTGATTGTATCTCTGTAGATATTGATCGTTTTTCTTCCAAATTTTAATATGTCCTAGCTGAGACAATTTCCTACAAATGTAGTGACAACAATTTTTCATTTTGACAAAGGCATCATGGCGTATTTTTGCGATTAAAGGAGGCATGTCAATTTTTCACATTTTGCGTGTATTCTCTATGGGACATGACTTTTTCTCAAAACCGGATTCTACATTCCTGTCTTTCGCGAGCAAAATATCTGTTGTTTTCGCTGAGCTTTGAGTATGTTGTAGCTGAGACAATAAGCTATCACAAGTTATTTTTCGATCAGGTGCTTGGATTATGCTCATAGTTCACTTGCAAAGTAGGATTTGAGAATTCCATTTCCCATTTACGTGTACTCGCTATTGGAATTGTTTTGGTATATTGGTAACGCACTCAGGGGCGTCGCTAGACCTTTTTCAGTGGGGGGGTGTAGAGGCCAATGATTACCGACAAAACTAGCCACCAATTACCAACAAAATTAAATGTCCCAATATCTACAAATTTAACCCTATAAACCCGGGGCCGAAGGCTAAATTATTTTTCCTATGGACCATCTATAGTAATTGCGTATGCGCAATTGATCATTTTCCTCGACGACATAAATATACGAATATTTCGTCAACTTAGTCAGCATCAAAGCTATATATTTTAATGCAGGTGCGGAGCTAGGATCTTATTTTAGGGAGGGGCCGTAGTGAGCAAGCGAATCACTTAGAGAGCGCGCAAAGCGCGCTCATTAGGCCTCCCGCACGAAGCGTGGAAGCTTAGACGTTTCCTTAAATTATTAGGAAAATTATTGGCGTTTCATTGAATTATTAGAAAGTAGACGATTCGTTGAACCGTGCTCGACTCTTAGAAGAATCCTGTTAATCCTTGTCTAAATGAAGTCCCCCTCCCCCCCCCCCCCCCCCCCCCCCCCCCTCCCGCGCGAAAGCTTTGACGTTTCATTAAATTATTATGAAATGTAGATGATTTGCTATACCGTTCTCGATGTTAATCCTTATCTGAATTCAGTTCTGCCCCTCCCGCGCGAAGCGCAGAATTTTTGGCGTTTCATTGAATTATTAGAAAGTAGAGGATTCGTTGAACCGTGCTAGACTCTTAATCCTTGTCTGAATTTAGTTTCTCCCCCTCCCGCGCGAAGCCCGGAAGCTTTAGACGTTTCATAAATTATGAGAAAAAGCAGAGGATTCGGTGTACTGTTCTCGACTCTTAATCCTTGTATGAATGAAATTTCCCCCTCCCGCGCAAAACGCGGAAGTTTTGACGTTTAATTAGATTATTAGAGAAAGAAGACGATTCGTTTTACCGTTTTCGACTCTTAATAAACCCTAATTGTCTGAATTCAATTTCCCCCTTTAGCGCAAAGCGCGGAAGCTTTGACGTTTCCTTAAATTATTAGAGAAAGAAGACGATTCGTTGTACCATTTTCGACTCTTAATCCTTGTCTGAACTCAGTTTCCCCCTTCCAGCGTGAAAAGCTTAGACGTTTCCTTAAATTATGAGAGAAAGGAAGACGATTCGTCGTACTGTTCTCGACTCTTAATCCTTATCTGAATTCAGTTTCCCCCCCCCCCCCCTCTGCGCGAATCGCGGAAGCTTTAGACGTTTCATAAATTATGAGAAAAAGCAGACGATTCGGTGTCGGCCTACTGTTCTCGAGTCTTAATCCTTGTCTGAATGAAATTTCCCCCTCCCGCGCAAAACGCGGAAGTTTTGATGTTTCATTAGAGAAAAGAGAGATTCGTTTTACCGTTTTCGACTCTTAATAAACCCTAATTGTCTGAATTCAATTTCCCCCTTTAGCGCGAAGCGCGGAAGCTTTGACGTTTCCTTGACGTTTCCTTAGTTTCCCCGAAAATTTTAAACCTCTGATTTCTTTAGCTGATATTATAATAAAGTGAAACTTCGAGAAAATACAAGTATTGTAGTTGTAGTCACTCTCGAAGTCGTCACAGCGGATAAAAAGTCACAGTTCATAGGGAAAAAAACAATATACATCTCACCGACTTCAAACTTCTGTATTGATATAGTACACGAGGATCGAGCAAAAATACTGACACAGCTGACCCGACACAGCAATATAGTACCCATGTCTTTCTTGCTTCCTTGACGAGACGACTCCACCCACAACCCCCCCTTACTTTTACTCCCACTCCTCCTTTCTCAGGCTCTTACCTCCCCCCTCTCTCCTCTCTTCACCCCCGTTTCTTTTGTTTTCCTTTCTCTTTTTTCTTTTTTTCCTTTTCTTCCTTTTATTTCTTTTTCTTTCTTTCCTCTTCTCCCTCTTTTTCTTTTTTCTTTTCCTTTTCTTTTTTCTTTTCTTTCCCTTTCCCTCTCTTTTTTTCCCTCCCCCTTTTCTCTTTTTTCCTGACAGCAGCGCAATTTTACCGACAATATCCTGACAGGTGGAGGGGTGTCGCACCCCCCACACCCCCCCTTTGGCGACGCCCCTGAATGCACTTGACTTCCAACGTCGAGATCCCTGGTTCGAGTCCGGGTGTCTCCAACAATTTTTTTCTTCACTCTTTTTTTTGTTTTGACCTTTCACTGTACCATCTCCTTTGATTATTAAAACACGTAGATTCGCAAATAATGTATAAAACAACCCTATTTACTTTATTATTATGGTACCCTATTTTCACTTCATCAATTACTTTTTTCGTGTAATCCCTATGGGAGATGTTGTAGCTGAGACTATATGTCAAAGTTATCGTGAAGTCATCCAGGTGCCATTTTGTGAAAATCAACTTATGATCATATCTTCATAACGGAAAGGAATTTCTCATTCATATTTATCATGAAAAAGGTCAATATCCGTCCGGTCAATTTCAGGTCAATAAATGCGCGCAAAAATTGCTCAAAATCGTCTTAAATTTTGTTTGTATACGTTTCAGGCCATTATAAGCATTTCAAGCGCAAAACAGGCATTTTTGCGCGTTTTCGTTCGTCACGGCCGAACGAAAAATAATTACCCCTCAATTTTTTTGAAGGGATATTCCTCATATTTTTCTGAACAATTTGATACCATGTTCATCTCTTTATCACTATTAATAACGGAATGAGCGTCCGTTGAAGATAAATATCCGTGCGTGCTAGCTCATGTATTACATAGCATATATGGGCAAAAACATCCCTATAAAAAGTACATCGGGATGAATAAGGATTGCCATTTCTTTTTTCATATTTAGATAGAGTATGAGTCGGAGATATGATTTCATGTCTCATTTGGCCATTAAGTATATTTTTACACAATCATATTGACCTTGGAACTCAAAATACGAATTTGCATATTATGACGTCAACATATTTACGGAAATGATCGTATCTCTGCAAATATTGATCAATTTTCCTCTAAATTTTGATATGTTGTAGCTGAGACAATTCTTCACAAGATTATTACCAATATTTATTCATTTTGATGACGTCATTAGTTTTTGCTTAATATGCGTCTTATGCCTATGGGAGGTGATTGATACTACATTCCAGTCTTGACTTGTTCATTATGTTGCGTATGTAGTGCGTCAAAATATCAGTTCGATGATTGGTAGGCTCTGCAATCAGGCGAAAATTTGAGCTTGTTTAGTAAATTAATAATTTAATCATATAACAGTTCTCTATCGAATACCTGAAGGGGGCGCTATACCACTTTTAATCATGGTCATCGTCATTTAAAACCAAAAAATTAATATCATCAATATCGTCTTTATGGTATTCATGAATATTATCATTAGATCATCATCGGCACACTTTTATGATACAAAAATAGCTTACGTATCACCTAATTTGTCAAAGTGACGAATTAAAGTCTAGTTCTTTTTATGTTAATAGTGTGGAACAATTACATTTTAAAAAATGTCTCCTGAAAAGCATTAATTGCTCTTAAATTGCCATTATATTCAAAATATGACAAGATATAGCTGATTCAGAAGTGATTTGACTCATCTTTCATGCCACATGTTTGTGTAGTCCCACACATTCCAATGTTGAGTGTATATGACTATCAGCAAGACTGAATCAATTTCATATCATTTTGCTAATCCCAAAGCCCCATAGTATACACCAGTTCTTATGTACAACATAATCAACCTTTCTCTATAGCTTCTACACAGTTTTCCTCACAGTGCACTTCCATGACCAGAACTAAATTTATGTTAATTAAAAGTGTACCGATCACCAAAACACATTATAGTGTTGATGTACAGAGTTCCATAGCGCTACACTCTCAGAGATGCCAACCCTAAAGGATTGTTGTCAGTAACATTTACCTCATTTGTCCGTAACAAATGGGGGTCTTTCCGGAATGCAAGACAACGCAGCATATTTTTCGCGCAAAATGTACCCAAGCATCCATTTACTCTTACTGCATTTCGAACCTACCATTCTTAAGTTCAAAATAAAGATGTGCATCAAAACGTTTTTTAAAAATCTGTTTGCAGTCATAGGATCTCTTCCTCGAGTACTTGCTCTTTTCAGTGAATCCATCATAATATTCAGGAAGAAAACATCTCGTTCAAGCGTCGAACAGCAAATCCTAATCCACAGTCAAAATGGCAGAACTTGTATCCTACACACTAATGAACACCACACGCACACCGTAACGCCTGTACCAGCCCAGGCCGCTAGGCCCGCCGTTCATGAACATCACGCACTGTAGCGCACTTGCAATGCGCCTGCTTGAATCACTGCGCACATGATCGTCCACCATCATGCTCCCCCAAAAATGCACAACCGGGCGTAAGCATACTAATATCAAAACAATAATGACGGCAGCCACGTTGTTTCGGAATTAAACAAGATGGCGGTGGACGGACCATGTGCACAATTAGCGTGTAGAGGGCGAAAATGCCCATCCAGTGTAGTCAAATTCAGTGAACTTTTGAGTAAATGCGTGCGCGACATGCAGCGCTGTGTACGGAGGCAATGTGTATGGATAGGCGGCATACGCTATGATCATGGACCTACTATAAATGCTATAATGTACTTATTTATCGTTTCCCGTAACATTTGGTTGTTTACCGTAACGCCGTAACAAGAGCAATAAAACCGGAACAAATACGGCAAAACTGTAACAGTTGGCATCCCTGCACTCTATTCACAATATCAGCTACAAATATCACTTTAATATATTGTCAGTAAATACAAAAAATGACTTGGGAAGTACACTAGTCGACACATGTGCATGTACGCTCTCATATAGAATAGGGGGCTTACAGAACCTAAGTCAGACCTAGACCCCTGTTACACATGCGTCGGCTTTTAAAGCGGGCCCCGGAGGCGGCCTCACACCGGCAATTTGAAGCCGCCTCGAGATCATCAAACCCCTGTTACACATGATCTCGGGCCCGCAATTTTGCGTCTACACATAGGCCGGCCTCACGTCGCCTTTTCACGAGCTGATGTTGGGGCGGACTCCAGAAAGACAGAAAGAGAAAGTGATAGAATGATAAAAACAAAGAATAACATAAGAGAAGGTAATAGAAGGGAGAAACAAAGAATAACATAAGGAAAGACAGAAAGAGAAAGTGATAGAATGATAAAAACAAAGAATAAGATAAGGAAAGACAGAAAAAGAGAGTGATAGAATGATAAAAACAAAGAATAACATAAGAGAAGATGAAAGAAGGAAGAAACAAAGAATAACATAAGGAAAGACAGAAAGAGAAAGTGATAGAATGATAAACACAAAGAATAACATAAGGAAAGACAGAAAGAGAAGGTTATAGAAGGAAGAAACAAAGAATAACATAAGGAAAGACAGAAAGAGAAAGCGATAGAATGATAAAAACAAAGAATAACATAAGGAAAGACAGAAAGAAAAAAGGATAGAATGATAAAAACATTTCACATAAGGAAAGACAGAAAGAGAAAGTGATAGAATGATAAAAACAAAGAATAACATAAGGAAAGACAGAAAGAGAGAGTGATAGAATGATAAAAACAAAGAATACAGGTTACGTCACTTCCGCTTATAAGCCGGCCCGAGTCCACTTTTGGTGTTACACATACCGATTGCGGGACTGAGGCCGGCCTCAAACCACATCCCGAGGTGGACTGAGTCCACCTGGCCTCAGTCCGGCTTTTCGAAAAAAGTTGGTGTTACACATACGTCGAGCCGACTCCGGGGCCGGCCTCAGTCCACTTTCAGACGTATGTGTAACAGGGGTCCTAGGTTCCTTGCATGACGTGTTTCATGACATCCTTTACTTTCTTAATACAAATTAACTGTTAATCTACAGATAAAGTCTAATGAGGTTGATTTTATACATTCTAGCTGTACACAAATCATTTTTGCAGGTGATCAGTAACCCTTACTAATTTGTTAAAGGAACTATGTCCCATTTGCAAGCCAAAAAAAAGAAAAGGTTATATTCCAACAGCCTTTGAAAGATAATACTAATTTAGAACTTCCCTAACAAAAAAGGAGGCTTGAAAATGTCTTTAAGTGGCAAAATAACGACTATTAGTTGTCGAATCGACTTAAGAGCTATAGAGCCAGTAAGCAACAGTCTGGTTTCAGACCATTGTACCGAATGGTTGTACGTTTTATGCTGCGCAAATATTCAATCAGTTTAATTTTGGCCAATACAAGAAGTGGGTATTGATGTAGACATATGCTCATGTTCCCTTTATAGCTCATTTTATGTATGTTATTACCAAAGAAGACAAAATGCCAGTCAGTCACTCAATAGTGTCTGACAGTGAAGTCTAGCAAGTAAACAAGTTTCCTTGCATAATTTGAATATTAGGACACTCAAGCCTTCGATTAAGCGGGTGCAGGGCGCAAATTTGCGCTCATAAACCACCAATTTCGCCCATAATCATCCAAAACTAGACGGCAAGTTGCAAGTGTTTGCCGTGAAAATGCGCCCATAAATTATTAGAACAGAAAAAATACATGAATCACGAACAGTTTGCCGCGCACGAGCTCTCTACTAGCTTCTTATGTATGCTTTAATAAGGCGCAAGTGTTTCCGTGAAAATGCGCCCTTTGTTACTAGAGGCTAGCGCACGTACGTATGTAGATCTACTCACGTTCAGATCATGCGATCGCTAGATGGTGCTGTGGCGCACCCACGTACGTACATACAAATGTATCGAAGGATCAAGAAAACAAATCGTCAAATGAAGAAATAAACAAGCATTCAAATAGTCATTAGAGATCTTTTGAGGTTTGTTTGTAGGTCTAGTTTATTATTTCATCTCAAATAGAATTTAGAATTCTCTTATTGATAAGTTAAGAACACCTACGATGTTCTCGATCATAGTTACTCTCATTTCGCCAGCAGCCGACCTAACCTTGTTTTGGAAAAAAGCTAGCCGGCAAGCTTCCACCCGCTAACTTTTCGAGTCCCGATAAATTTGCGCGCTGCAAATCTCCGAAGGTGCATTGGTCTCGTTGGCAAACTCCCAGCCTGCTGGCTTCCCACCAAGGACCTTTCGCGGTATGGCGAGAGTGTTTGTGCAAGGAACGATTTTGGTTTCGAGAACGCACGTTACGCAACTTCAGCTGTCGATGTCTAAGGACATTTTTACATGTACGATTTTTAGTACGAATATTTGGTCAGTTTTCTTCTTATTTCTTTGGTTATACAACAATTAAAAAGTTAATTCTTCAAATTTGCTCCTACTGCCGAGAGTGTGGCGGAAGGTTTGTGTTTATGACTTTCGATGTTTGTGAAATTGTCAATTTATTTATTCATTTGCTCATCAATATTTTTAGTTACTTTAAAATACTGTTTAATGTGCAAGTTGATGTTCTTAATCAATCTTTCCTGTTGATCTTGTTAAGATTAAAAAGTAATTAAATTGATCGTAGATCTGGATCTATTCACATTATGAAATTAACATTGTATCTTTGAACTTATTTAACTTGTGTAATTAGTTGTCATTATCTGCTCTTAGGAAATTGCCCCTTGCTCCTGGCTGCTTAATCTAAGGCCTGAGGACACTGCTAAAGTTTAAATTTGACAGATAGGACTTACATGACATATTCATAATTCATGCAAAGTTCTACAGAATCTGATGTTGGCTGCAAAAGGGACATAGTATCTTTAAGGCTAGTTCGGATATAAGGCGGTAAACTGCCGCATTAAAAACAACGCCAGGGTCTTTTTTACTTGTAAATGAATGGCAACTGAGTGAAACAAAGATCCTGCGCATATTCACTGAGCTCTTATTTGCTGCAGTATTGAAGGTCATATCTGAATGAAGCTTTACTTGTTTGCGTGAAAATGACATCCTCCACTGTCCCGTCATTGTATTCCACGTAGACCACGTATCTCCTGCCGGGTACCAGCCCCTCGAAGGTGTAGAACAGCGGGCACGTCTGGTTGGTTGGGAGACACATGGGTGTGTCACCTCGTAGGTTGCTGCAGAGTTCCTTCAGACACACTTGCTGACCGTTGGTGGCAGCATCCAGCCAGTTGACTTGAAGATTGGTGTTGCTGGTGCTGGAGACGTAGGGCTCGTTGTTGTCGTATTGACCTGTTGGAAGGTTCAGGATTCAAGATTCAGATTCAAGAAGCAAGTTTTATTGTCAATATATTGTTTAATAGAAACATGACTTCTATAGGGTTACATGCCTTCAGGTTGGCCCCAGGGTAGACCTGGTCTGTCTCCTCTCTCAGGATGAGGTTAAAGCTCACTGCGACAGTAACAGAAATAATAACAACAATAAAAAGAAAAGGAAGTAATCCGTATACTAGTGCAGCATTTTTCTCTAACTATTGAACTAAAGAGCTCATGACTCAGACATAGATATGTATGTATGTAAAGGAAGTAATATCAAGTAGTTTAAGTAGTTTAATTAAGCCACCTTCACAGCTTGACTTGTAATATGTTCTACATGTACAGTTTAGTATCACTTTTTTATGTTTATAACTTTCCTATAAAACTTTTACAGCTTGTAATATATTGTAATATATTTTTGTAAGTATTATCTATTTTTATACTGCAGTTTAAAATAAAACAAAATTCATATCATTTTATATTACACATATACCTTGATATATTTATGTATTTGATTGAACTCTCATATCCTGAAAAGAAGTTGAAAGAGTCAATAAAATAATTTCAACTTCTACTACTACTTCTACTACTACTACTTCTACAACTACTTCTACTACTACTATCAATTATGATAACTAAACAATCAACAATAATAATAAAAACGTTTCTAACGTGTACATATATCCATTCCAAGGGATGCTTAAGGCATTTAACAACATACATACAATTATGAAAGAAGCAGTTCAGAAAACTTCATAAGACAAAGTACATACATAAACTATTGTGGAAAACATGGAAATTATAAAGTGAAACAAGATGAATGCCACTGCATCTATGATATGCCTCCACCTATGTGTGTGTTCATTTAGGTGCCTTGGATTAATTCTCATGTGCGAGAAGCTGCAGCTTTTTAACCAGAGAGCGCATGCATCAAAGCCGATTGAGTTAATCCCGGATGCACGATTTGCCTACGAAAAGCTGCATTGTGTGTGTCCGAAGACCGTGACGTCTTTTTCAAGCCAGAAAAACCGTGATTAATTTTCAACCCATTGAAAGATTTGTCATACTTGTTTAGCTCCCTCTGCGGCTAAACTAAGTTATTTAGCTTAGCTTGAGTTCGTGTCTAATTAGCACTGTCCTCTGTATATTTGGAATGGATCATTATGCACAATAAAAACACCGTTTAAAAGGGTTGTTTACAAGTAATAAGACCTGTTTAAAAAATTAAACAAGTTGTTGTATTGTAATGAACTGTTAGCATTTTAAACAATTACGTTTTATCTGTGTATATATAACCGAATGAATTTTTAAAAAATAGATTTTTTTCGGGGAGGTAACTTGGAGGTGTCAATCTAGACACACGGGTTATGGGAGCCCCATTCAAATTTAATTCTCCAGCAATTAATGGAAATAAAGACTAGTGGTTTTTTTTCTCTCTCGCCGGTATAAACAATTGCGTGCTGGCCATAAAGCCAATGTGTTGATTCATGAATTCTTGTTTGGAGACTATGCTATTCCATTGTCATTTAACTCATAGAGGCAAAACACATTTTACGGAAGGTTTTAAATATTATTTGTTTCTTTGAACTTGGTATAAAGCCCTCTCCAAAGAAAATATTTTCTCTTGCTCCTGTTCATCTCTTTTCCTCCCTCTCTTCTCTTTCTCTCTCTTTTCTTTCCACTCTCTCTTTTGTTTCTTCACTGGCCACCCATTATGGGTGCAGTCTGCCTCCCTATCCGCATTCTGCCCCGTGCCCCCCCCTCCCCCGTACGCTAGTGTTTCTCCGGCTTATTATTATCATTATAATCATCATCATCATATTATTATTATCATTATTTAGATGGGGAGGGTGATGAATAATGAAAGGAAAGCAATGAATTATAAAAATTATAAAAAATACTCTTGCACAAGATTCAAGATTACGATTCAAGATACTTTATTTCTCCAATCGTGCAAAATATAAACTAACATTATCAATTGCTCCTGTTTGTTGTACTTTCAAATTATTCATTATAATCGTTTTTTTTCTTCATAAGCATGTCCATTTTTCTTTCACATGAAATTCTGATACTGCTGGTACTTCATTGGGAGCAGCGTAATCCGCGCTCGCCCTGAAGAAATCTCATGACGGCAAGCACCCTAGTACCTCATAATCCGCCCTTCTATTGTTCGAGTTTATAACCATGACAACGAACTCGACCTTTGGCCAAGTTCACTGTTCCTCTTACGTAACATAGATGTAGATAGGCCTCATACATAACTCTTTTCGTATAATCATTCTATATACCGGTAGTTCTAAAATGCTTTCAAATATTTTGTGTCGTTTTTGTTTGTATATACTTTGTCAATTTACTTACAAACTATTATTGTCAATATTTGCCAATACTACCAAACTATTACGTTTTCCCTATCATCTTCCGCTCTAGAATCCTATTATTTATTTATTTTTATTTGTTCGGTCCTTTTCACATTTTTCTTGTCTCTCTCTCTTCAAGATTTCTTCTGTTTTTGTAAGGGTATTTATGCTGTTAATTTTTGTATAAATAAAAGAGAAATCGTTATTCTTTCTCTTATAATGTTGTCCACCTTCTTCTATAGATAACCCTTTTGTGCTCAAGTATAATGTCCGATGTATATTACTTCTGTCAATAACATACAATGAACGTATATTTTTATTTTGATGCAACAGAGATTTTTATTTTTATTTAGGAGTACGTCGAATCGTGATCTCATTAAAAGGGTTGTTTAAAAATAATACGACCTGTTTAAAAATGCAATCAGTTGTTTACAATATTATCTGAACAACCAGCCGTCTACGTAGTTCATATTGTAATAAACTCTTAGAATTTTTAACAACGATTTCTCTATGTTTAACCGAATGATTTTTTTTTTAAGGAGATTTTTATCCGGTGGGTAACTGGGAGGTGTCAATCATGTCAATCAAAATTATTTCGTTTAAAGGCTGTCACCAATATGCATTATTACATTTAAAGTATTGACACTTGTGGTACTTTAGGTGTATATATACGTCATGTGGTATCATCAATATTCATGATACGCACGCACCCAGAAACTGATGCGATAATTTATCAAATATTGAGATTTCACATAAAAAATACAAGTGCACTGAAAGCTATATTTTATTAAAATAAATGACATTACGAGAATATCGGGAGGCTTACCGTAAACGAATGACTACCTGGGTTGTAACTTGTCCATAACCATAATTGCGACATATAATGCATGGTACAAGCCCGGGGGGGGGGGGGGGTACTCACGTATATTGGGTATACGGGGATGTGCCGCTCGGAAGGGTGACTTTTTCAGGAAAGATCCTTAGACATGGGTCCCCTTTTCATAAAAAAAATCCTTAAACATGGGCCCCTTTTTTCATTTATTTCTTTTCCCTCTTTTCTCCCTCATTTTCTCTGGGATTTTGGGATTTGCTCCTAAATACTCGAGCCTACATTGTAAATGCCTACATCTCTCCCATCTCTAAATAAATCCGGGGCCTAAACAATATTGGAGAATCCTTCGGTGATTGCATTTCCAGTGTACGAGGTGTACGTAGCTCGTAAACTCAACTAGACCCCGGGGTACCACATATATCAGGACCCCATGGGCCCTATACCGGGTACTCATATGGCATAATGCGCGCTAGGTATGGTATCCGCCCGTATAGGGGTCGTACCCCCGGGAACTTGTAGCGCTTCACACGCTGAAAATGATATGATCGGCAGCTATACCCTGCGTACCCTCTGCCCAGCAGCCGGCCAGCAGCGGGGCTCAAGCGGGGAGCTATATAGCCGACGCTTGAGAGCTCGTGTACGTACGGGTACGTTAATTAAAACGGGAAAATTCCTTCAATTAAAACAGATGCTAGCACAGTATAATTATGTTGCATGGTGTTTTCATCTTTATGTGTATAAACTACTTGTAAACTACATGTAGTATGGTACAGTTTACTAATAAAGAATTTTATCGAGAAAATGCAAAATGATTGGCCATTATTATTACACACAAAGGTGCATTAATATCCTGGCTGTGTATTAAAAGCTGTGCTATTGATTCTCAACATTTCAAACACCACTGTACAAAACTCAATCAATTTCACTCAAAATCGGTACTTTAGTGACAATTGATGACACCTAAATAGCAGTAAAATAGATTTTCTTCCAACTTTCCGATGTTAGAAAGAATAATTAAACAAATCTAATTGTGAGTTCACTGTCAAACTTGCTGATCAGCCGCATCGGCATGATTGTGTCCACCTGTGTGTTATGAGTGTATTGACTATTCATGTATCTAAATGCTGCCTACTAACGCGTAATGCAGTGCTAAAGGTTAATACGAATGAGCGTTGACTCTCTATATGATTTGCTGGAGTGTATTATTACAGCTTTAAAAAAATGTAATATTTGAAGTTTGAAATCCTTAGACATGGGTCCATTTTTCCCAAAAAATCCTTAGACATGGGTACCTATTTACAGCAAAAGGACCCTTGGATATGGGTATGGGTTCGGAGGTCTCTGCCGCACACCCCCGTCCAACTATAATCTGAGTACCCCCCCCCCCCTTCCAGAATCTGGCCGATTTAATTTGATTAATTTTTTTTTTTTAATTGTTTATATGAATATCTTTGTTGAACATTATATTTGTACTATTCAACTGTATTTCTTCCATGCCCCAGAAGGGGCTGTTAAAGAAATTTAAAAAAACGTTGTATGATTGTCATTGTCATTGTTATTGTCAATATCCACAACACACATCACACTAAGCATGGCATTGCCTTTCATGATACAACAGTCTTTGAAAAAAATCAAAGAGAAAGAAAATAAAGAGGAAGAAGAAACGAGGGGGGGGGGGGGGGGGGGGGGGGGGGGGGGGTAAGCGGAATTTTTTTTTTTTTTTTTGTTCTTGAAAATTTGACATTTGTCTTCGTTGGGGGGGGGGTAAGGTCACCTTTTTTTAGGTT